GTAAATGTGGCTGCCCCCCCCCCCCCCCTTGGGGCTGCCCCCCCCCCCCTGGACCTACTGGAACTCACTGGGCCTCGGTGTTGTTGCCAGCTTATAGCTGGAGGAAGCAAGAGTCCCTAGGCTCACCTGAAGAAGGCACTGCTCACCACTTCCCGGGCCCGGCTCTCCAAAGGCAAAGAGAGCTGCTGCTTGGTCTCTGGGATCTGGGATGTGGGCTTCTTTGTTACAAAGAACGAGTGGAACAAGCAGAACCTGGTAAGGCAGGACAGCAACCAGTGGTGGCCCATTAGCACCGCTCATTTTTAGGGCTCCCCTCCATGGACAGTGCCACCGAGGGTGTGGTGCCAGGAGCAACAGGGAGCCATTCTGCTCTGGCCACAGCCCTCACAGCCTGACTGGGCAAGGCTGGAGGTAGCTGGGCAATGACGGGAAGGGCCATTTCTCAGGTTTGGGTCCCCAACTGAACACAGCTCAGCCCGAGTTGGAGAGAGGGAACCAAAGCCTGCTCCTTGGAATCAAGACAGACAAGAGGCTATGTGGCCACAGGCAAGCCGCATCGTGGCTTCTGCAAACACAGGGCTTGCCAAGACCCCTCTGGAGATTGTGGGGAGGTCGAGATGAGCACCTGGCTCTGTATGTGGCACAGATGGGGCGGTGGCTGGGCAAAGGGCTTCCCTGACACCATCAATGTGCAAAGGCTGCCTGCGGGACACAGGGAGGAAGCCCGAGCCTTTTAGGCTTCTGCAGTCCCATACTTCCTGGGTCCCTTCCCTTCCCTGGTCCCAACAAATTCCCCTACACCCCTGTGTGCCTGCTCCCCACTGACTCAGCCTGAAGGATTCTGCCTCCAGGAGACCCATGCTATGACTGGAGGAGGGCCCAATTCCTTGCCCACACCCCCTGGGGAGCAGGGGTCCAGACGCATCTCACACCTGGCCACTTGTTCAATCAAAGCCTCATCCTTCTCCAGGTGCAGGTGGTCCACAATGCTGACCAGGCGAAGGATGATCCACTTCCGCAGCCGGAACACAGCTCGCTCAGGCCTGGGGGCAGAAGCAAGATCACGGAAACCATATAGACATGGCAAAAACAGGGCACTCCTTTCCTCATCCTGGAGACAGGAAACCAAGATCTCCCTGCCCTGACCACCAGCGTAGGAGCACTGGAGGAAACTGAGGCCTGCTATGAGAGCAAAGTCTCCTCCCTTCCTCCCCTTCTGTGGTTTGGAGCCACAATGCTGTGGGAGGAAGAATCCAGGTCTTTGGGTCCCACAGGACCAGGAAGCCCACTCCTGAATCCTGGTCCCACTCACCCATGGAGAGAAGCGTCCTGGGCTTTCTTCTGGTTGCTGGTGCTGAAGTCAACCAAGGAGTCCAGGTCAGGCTGGAGAAACATGTCCTGCAGCCAGTCCACATAGCTCTGCAGGGCAGGGGAACTCAAGAAGCGCACGACCCGCCAGAAAGTAGGCATTACAGGGAGGCCTTGGTTGGTGACAGAAGAGAAGGCCACCAGCACGGCCAACTGCCGCTCAGGGTCATCCTGGCATCCCTCCAGGAAGGTACCCACGTACTGGTTCATCTCTGGAGCAAACTTGAACTGGTTCGGTAGCTGCAAGAGTCAGGCATGGTGCTGGGGTCACCTGTAGGTTAAAAAGAGGCCCAGAAGTCCCCCTCCCTTGCACATAGTGAAGCTAAGCCTAAGTTGGCAACAGCTCCCTGCTGCCCCAATGCGCTTCTGTCCAGCGTCAAGGCCTCCTACGTCTAACTTCTCCAGCTGCTCCACCTCCAGCCCCAGAAGGCCCCTCCTTCCACCACATGGGATGGGGACAGGCAGCTTTCCCAGCTTGATGCAGTGGTTAGGAGTCCAGACTGACCTGGGTTCAAATCCCACTCTGCCAGTTCTGGCTGTGTCATTTGGGGGCTCAGAACTACCACCTCCCACGTGCTTATTAAGTGCCAGACACTGTGCTATACATCTCTGTGTGGCAGCTTGCTTAATCTCAGTAACAACCCTTTGCACTGGGTCACCGTTATTGTCATTTTATAGATGAAGAAAGTGAGGGACAGAAAAGCTTGGAAGTAAATTCTCAGGGTCACAGGGCTCCACATGGTACAACTGGAATTCATACCCTGTCACTCTGGCTTCATAAGCCAAGCACTTAACCACTGCTACATATTTTGAGACTATCCCCTCACCCAGAAAATGAGAATGACAGCTTTCTGAAGGACCCAAACTTCCCAAAACTCTGTTCAGAGGGGAGGAGGTTTAGGAAGCTCACTCCACCCAGAGGGAAGGGACACCCACGTCCCAGGGCCCCTCAGACCAGGACTTCGGAAGCGCTCCATCCCTCTTCCTGGCAGCAAGTCTGCTGCCCAGCCCTTTCTGCAGCGCTGAGCTGCATGGGGTGGCACCCACCTTAGCAGTGACCATGTGCTCCCCATAACTACGGATCAAGTCTCCCCGCATCACCAGCTGCAGCTGCTCCTTGGACAGCAGAGGCAGGGCCGCACCCAGCAGGCGGTAACACAGGTAGCTAAGAGGGTGTGGAACAGCACCTACTCAGAGCCCTTGGTCCCCCTGGGTGGACCTGAGGACCAGTGGCCCACTCCACTTGACAGATAGGAAGGGAGGTTGAGAGAGGACAAGTGCCACACGCACCTGGCTGGCCAGAACTGCTGCTTCAGCAGCCCCTGTTCCACAACCTCGTTCCAGAACCGTGGGAACGTGTCTTCCTCGAGTGCCAGGCGGAGCAGGTCCAGAGCCACGGAGGGCAGCCGGCGCTCCTTCTTTACAGAGGCAGCAGCCGTCTTCAGCACGTTCACCAGCCTGCGGAGCAGGGCGGAGGGGCTCCGGGAACACTGCCTGACAAGCAGGGCCGGGGTGCCCAGGGCAGCAGGGACACCCCCCAGGGAGAGCGGATCCATCCATGGCCCTCACACCTGGGAATATTCTCATCCGAGAATAGGTTGACTGATCCCATCAGCTCCATGAGCTTCACGGGCACCTTCTGCTGGGCCAAGAGGAAGAGCTCCAGGTGCTCGGGAGAGCCCAGCACTGCGTTCAAGTCAGCCTTGAGGACCTTCGGCAGCACCTCCTGTAACATGGCCTCCGGGACCTGGCGGGGGTGGAGGGGGCAGGTCATGTGAGGGTGGCTCCCTCACATCATCCTCAATCCCTCCCCCCTCTGTGCATGAGCCCTATGGGCCCTGTCCCATCTCCCAGGATGGTGGCACAGCACCAGTCGGAGGTGGGACAACCATAATACACCTCACTAGGCACTAGGATCATCACACAGCATTTGTTAAAAACCTCAAATTCCCAGGAAGCTATTTAAAAAAAAAAACAAAAAAAACTAAATTTAATTGTACATTTTTATGGAGTAGTTTGTTGCTCTGATACATACATATATATATATTTTTTGTCCTTTTTGTGACCGGTAAGGGGATCGCAACCCTTGGCTTGGTGTCGCCTGCACCGCGCTCGGCCAGTGAGCGCTGTGAGCACACTGGCCATCCCTATATAGGATCCGAACCCGTGGCGGGAGCGCCACTGCGCTCCCAGTGCCGTACTCTCCCGAGTGCGCCACGGGGCCGGCCTGATACATACATATATATATATTTTTTGTCCTTTTTGTGACCGGTAAGGGGATCGCAACCCTTGGCTTGGTGTCGCCTGCACCGCGCTCGGCCAGTGAGCGCTGTGAGCACACTGGCCATCCCTATATAGGATCCGAACCCGTGGCGGGAGCGCCACTGCGCTCCCAGTGCCGTACTCTCCCGAGTGCGCCACGGGGCCGGCCTGATACATACATATTTATCATTTGTGTTCATAACATTCAAGATCTTTTTGGGTTATCTTGAAATACACAATATAGTATTATTAGCTGTTGTCACTCACCCTAGAGCACCAGAACCTATTCCTCCCAACTAACTGTAACTTTGTACCCATTTATCAACCTCCCTCCATTCACTGCCCCCACCTCTGCTAATCACTACTCTACTCTGCTTTTTTCCTTAATTGACTCATAATAATTGTATATATTTATGGAGTATGATGCCATAATTTGAGTGGAAGCTGGGGAACCCTAAGTGGAAAGCTAGAATTCTAATTCAGACCCTTCTGGCTGAGGCCAGGACAGTCCAGAAAACCCTAGCCTGGGACTTGCCAGCCCCTGCCTTTTTCTCCAGTGGCAAAGGGTTCTAGGTACTGCTCTACCTCAGTTTCCCAAGTAGGACAGTGGAGGTCCTTGGGGGGCCAGCCTTGACTAGAATAACACTGGCAAACATGTTTAACATACTAGCCTGGTGCCAGGCACCGTTCTAGCGCTGCACTGTCCAATTCCGTAGCCTCTAGTCACAGAGGGCTACTGAGCACTTGAAACGTGGCTAACCTGAATGGAGATGTGCTATAAGTGTCAAATATACGCTGGATTTTGGAGACTTAATATGACAAAAGGAGTGTAAAATATCTCAAAAATTTTTTACACTGACTATGTATTGAAATGATAATATTTCAGATATACTAGATTAAGTAAAATATTTTACTAAACTACACCTGTTTCTTTTTGCCTTTCCAATGCAATGACTAAAAAATTCAAATGATACCTTTTTACATTTCTATGGGGCAGTGCTGCTCTAGAGCATTCTCATGTTAACTTGAGTCTTCTCAACGTTTCTACAGCAGGCAGCTGGTAAGCCCGTACCTCAGAGAGGATGTCCACCAACGCCTTCTGGGGCTGCTCCTGTAAGTGGTTGTAGTGCTGGGCCAAGGCTTGCAGCAGCTTCACTGACTTCATCAGTGCCTCCTGGTCCTGGCACCCACAGAAGGGCACAGGGTATGAGTAGAGCATGCCACTGTCCCCCACCACTGCCAAGCCAGTCCACATGCCCCCCCTGTGCTCCCAGAGCTCCTACCTTCACCAGTCGGCCTGACTGAAAGAGGGCTAGCACCCCAAACAGGTTGGCAAAGAGAGAAGGTCTTATCATTGCCTAGAAAAAGATTCCAGGCACAAGTGAGAAGGACCCAAGTACTCCCCACCGCCCCCGCCCTCCCACCCTGGGGCTGCTGACCCTGGGGCTACTCTCACCTTCTTCACCTTGTGCAGGTCATATTTTTCTTGTATCTGCTGCAGGATGCTGCACAAGGGGATGTCTTCGAAGGACTGTAAGAGCTGCCAGGAGTTGTTGCCAGGAGGAAGACAGGGGCTCAGGGAGGTGGCCTGGCTACATCCCAAAGGACCTCACCTCCCTCCTCCCACCCCAAGGACACCTCTGAAGCTGCTCATCCCGCTCTAAGCAGTGCTGAAGATGGAACACTACTGCTCAAAGGGAACTGATTCAGATGAATCATATCTCCTGCCCGGGATTCAAAGAGTACCTTCTACGGCCCCTAGTAGATTCCCAAACACCCTGCCTCCTCCCCACAGCCTGCTCTGTGCTTCCCTCAGGCTGACAGGACTGAGTCTTTATTGCTATTCCAGTTGTCCGAGTTCCCCAGAAGGTGGCCTACGATCAGCTGAATGCCCTTGCCAGGAGAGGGCCTTGCACCTTGCCGACGTAAATGGGACTGCCCCAAGCTCACTATTCCCAGTAAGTGTACCTAAAAGGCCAGTCAACCCATTAAACAACAGCAACAAAAATTACTCAACATTCCATTCCGCCTGCCTAGATTTCTTTGTACACAAGCCTTGCTCACACTTTCTCTACTTCCATGTGAGGAACTGGCCTCGCATCAGCTCACATGCCACCCCTTGACTTCCCTCCTCTGACGCCCCCTCCTCCGCAGCTAAGACATCCGCCCTCCTCGCATTCAGTTTTGCCTGCATGGCTGGGCCCCTACCAGGAGCCCCACCTCACCTGTGCCAGGGCCAGACTGTAGCAGGGCCGGGCGGTTTCTCGCCCGACCCCGAGTCCAGTGATTAGGCGCTTCAGGGCGTATTTCATCTCGGACCCCTGCGGAACCAAGCGCATCCCTCTTGTTGAACAGCGACAAGAATCTGCCCGCCCTCGTCCACCCAGGCATCCAGGCTGGCGACCACGTGCCCCCAGTACCAAATCCCGGGGCCCGCCGCCACAGGTTTGCCAGAGTCGACGCGGTCCCCCGCCCCAGACCCCGCCACCATACCTTGGGCCTTGCGCGCAGATACTCCAGCAGCTTTTCCGTGGCCTTAAGCCGCGTCTCCTGCTGCGGCTTCGCAATGTCCCAGAAAAAGTCCAAGAACTCGCGGCTATGCTTCAGCAGGCCGTGGCGGTCGGCAGGCCGGGCACCGCTCAGCGCCGCCTCCCCGGGAGACGTGGGATCCGAGACGTCCTGGCTCTCCATGTCCTCCATGCTCCCGAGACACGTGGGCTCCAGGACAGCCGCTTCCGGGTCGGGTCGCGGCGCGTGCGCACTAGGCCGGGCGGGGAGCCGGGAGTGGGCGGAGCCGAGGAAGGCCCGGCCCCCTCTGCCCGCCCCCTGGATGGAAAACCCTCGGGAGCCGTGCGTCGCACCTGCCCGCCTTCCACGCACATCCTCTCCCGCCCGGGCTGCAGCACCTGCCCACCTTCCACGCACACCCCCTCCCCCCGCGGCTGCCGCACCTGCCCCCCTTCCGCTCACAGCCCCCCTCCCCCCGCGGCTGCCGCACCTGCCCCCCTTCCGCTCACAGCCCCCCTCCCCCCGCGGCTGCCGCACCTGCCCCCCTTCCGCTCACAGCCCCCCTCCCCCCGCGGCTGCCGCACCTGCCCCCCTTCCGCTCACAGCCCCCCTCCCCCCGCGGCTGCCGCACCTGCCCCCCTTCCGCTCACAGCCCCCCTCCCCCCGCGGCTGCCGCACCTGCCCCCCTTCCGCTCACAGCCCCCCTCCCCCCGCGGCTGCCGCACCTGCCCCCCTTCCGCTCACAGCCCCCCTCCCCCCGCGGCTGCCGCACCTGCCCCCCTTCCGCTCACAGCCCCCCTCCCCCCGCGGCTGCCGCACCTGCCCCCCTTCCGCTCACAGCCCCCCTCCCCCCGCGGCTGCCGCACCTGCCCCCCTTCCGCTCACAGCCCCCCTCCCCCCGCGGCTGCCGCACCTGCCCCCCTTCCGCTCACAGCCCCCCTCCCCCCGCGGCTGCCGCACCTGCCCCCCTTCCGCTCACAGCCCCCCTCCCCCCGCGGCTGCCGCACCTGCCCCTTCCTACCCCCGGGGGCATTTCCGAGGACCTATCTTGGCAAGCAAGTCCAGGTGAAGCAGATCGATCCATCGCGTCCCAGAGCGGTCCCCGCGCTGGGAACACTGAAGCCAGGCAGCAATTACTGAGCTCCTACTATGTGCCGCACAGTGCTGCGGTAGACAGGGGGAACTCAGTGGCTGGCATGCACGCCCTTTCTAGTGGCGGGAGACAGCTGATGAACAAGCAGCCAAATACATGAGAAAAGCTAATATGAAGGAATGCAGGGGTCACTTCTGGGGGGGGGTGGCTGGACGGTAAGGAGATCTGAACCGTTGACCTTGGTGTTAATCAATACTGCGCTCTAACCCCCTGAGCCAACCGGCCAGCCTCGGAATGCAAGGGTCGGATTTTTTTTTCTTGCAGCTGGTGGGTGCAGGGATCTGAACCCTTCACCTTGGGGTTGCCAGCATCATGCTCTAACCAAGTGAGCTAACTGGCAGGCCCTCAGACTTCTAAAATTTGAAACACATTAATACATCACCTGTTAAAAACATTGTTAATAAAATTCAATAGGTTATACGATACTAATTTGAGGAGGTGGTCAGGGAAGGCCTCTATGAGGAGGTGACATTTGGGCTGAGAGCTGAGTGACAAGGACTCCTCCCCCATTCCCCAGGGCTAAGGTCTAAGAGGGGACAACCCCCCAGGCAGAGGACACTGCAGCTACAAAGGCCCCAGAGCTGGAGGGGATGAGGTAGGTGAGAAGCATGGCTGTGTAGGACCCCAGGCCAGGGTCAGGAGTTTGGATTTCATTCTGAGTGTGATGGAAAGTCACTGAAAGGTTTTAAGCAGGGGCAGAACTTGATCAGCTTTACACCTTAAAAAGATTATTCTAGCAGCCGTGTGGGGGATGGAGGGCAGGCACACAAAGGTAGGAGCAAAAAGGCCAGTTAGAAACAATGTGGATTGGACCTGCGTACTATGAGAACTGGTCAGATTCAGCCTAATTTGGAGCTGGTTGGGGCAGGTGATGGATTTGGATGTGGAGGGAGAGGATGAGAAAGGAATGGCAGGTTTGTGGCTAAAATAACTCGGTAGATTGTGGCACCATTACTGAGCTGGGGAAAATTTTTCTTTGGGGAGGGGTGGAGATGGTGCGATCATTCTATTAAATCAGAATTCTATTAAAGTAGAGATGCCTTTTACAATGGGGGACAGGGGAGAGCTATTGGCCACCAGTGCTTCGTGACTTGAGAAGCTGTTTCTAGAAGGTTGTGCCCAGAGAGCCCTCAGTCCTAGGAGGAGATCAGGGCCAAACTCAGCCTTTCAATTCCACACACCCAGATCCCGCACCTTTGTACCAGGGCCCTGGGCACCTCCTGCTCACTCTATTAACTCCTTCCCTGCTCTGCTGTCTGTTCTGGAAGGCAAAATTAAGAGGTTAACCTTGCACATATGTGCCCTAGGAGGAAGCTGAAGACGCCAGCCCAGGCTCTGCCCCTCCCTGGGTGTTGGTTACCTGTGTGGCCCTGGGGGAAGCCCTGACACCAGGTGCCTCAAAGACAGATGGGAAATTAACCAGGAAGCAGGAACGGCAATTGGTGTCCAGGATTTTTATTCCACTTGATTTTTATTCTGTTTCCAGTCCAGGTGAGGGAGATCAGCAGAGGGTGGCCTGAAGGGGAGGATGGAGATGCCAGCAGTACCCTGGACTCGGCCAGTCCTGTCCCAGGGGGCCCAGAGGCTAGGCAGGGTCTTGGCATTCTTCCATCTGTTCATCTCAAAGTTGGATGTGAATTTAGGACTAGCGCCAGGCCCTGTTGCTCTTTCCCAACTATCTGCAGCTTCCTTAGCTGCAGTCAGAAATTCCATCCAGTGGGGGTGCTTTGAAGAATGATTGAGCTAGCCTTGGATGTCAGAACTCGAGTCCAGGTTACTGACCAGGCTAGGGGTTGGGGGCCTGAGCCCGTGTGAGCACGTCACAGATACACACTCTTTATGCACTTCATTGCCGCTGGGTCTGCTCTGCTCCTGCCCCAGGCTGGAGACAACACTGCTCCCTGCCAGACCCCTTCCTCTGCTGTTAGAATCCCTGGAAGGGGCAGCAGCCACTGGGGACACTGGAGACATGGGCATGCTCTGCATGGGCTGCCACTTGGAGCAGGGTCCCTTGGCCACAAGCGCTGGGCCTCTCTGTTGGTCCTTCCTGGGCCTGGTGCTGGTGCTGGGTCTGCCTATGGGGCCCTGCCAGATGGCTGAGCAAGGCGTGACTCGTGGCTCTGGTCACCTCAGGGGTTCCCGAAATCACCAGCCCCAACACATCAGCTTCTGTGTCATCTGGGCTGCCACGGAAGATGAGAGGGCAGGCCCACGTGCCGGTTGCAGACCTGGCCACCAGGTTGCTGAGCAGAACCCCAGTGCTTGGGGACAGGTGTCCAGAGCCAAAGGAGCTGTTGAGCGAGGAAGTAAGAAGAAGCATGGAGCCATTGCTGTCCACAGTGGCCAGAACGCTGCTTGTGGGGGTCACAGCAGTTTGCATGAGCGATGGGCAGGGGTCAGGGCTGGGCCTCCCGGAATGAAGGGCCACCTCCAGAAGTGCCAGCAGTTCTGGGCCAGCTGAGGGGCTGGGAGTGGTGAAGAGGATGCCCTGGGGCACAGGTAGCTGCAGTGCTGGCTCCAAGGTGGGCATGGGCCCGGCTGAGGGTACCTCCAGCCCCAGGTCTCTGACCAGCAGACTCAGTAGAGCATTCCCAGCAAGGTGTGGGGTGGGGATGATTGCCGCCCTGCGTAGCATGGCTGCCAGTTTTGGGTTGGTGGCTCTGGCCCCGGGACCCAGGGGGGTCCCGTTGGCCTGGCAAAGCAGTGGACAGAGGGCCTTTGTGCCCTGAGTTTCCAGGGCCCTTGCCAGGGGTGCGTCCACCAGGAAGCCCTTTTGAGCCAGCGTAGTGGGGCCCTCCAGCAGGCGTGGCCAGGGCAGGCGGCCGAAGTGTGTGTGCAGCAAGTGCAGGGTGGGCAGGGCTGTGGGCAGCCCCAGTCCGGGGGCCAGGGTCCGGACTGGGCCTGATGTCAGGGCGGTTGAATTGCCAGAGGAGCTATTGTGGAAGAGGCCCCAGAACGTGGCACCTGGGGGGAGACAAAGTGGCACACAGGAGTCAGGGGCACTCAGAAGCCCCAGGTGAAGGGTCACTGACTTGTTTGAGGTAGAAGTTACTGACTGAGCCCAGGATTAGGAGTTACTGACCGGGCCTGGGGTCAAGATGACACAGACCTGGGGTCAAGGGTCACAATTTAGGGTTGGGGCCACTGCCCAAATCCTAGGTCCTGTTCACTAATCACCTTGAGGTCAGGGCCACTGACTGCCTGAGTTCCAGGTCACTGCCCAGGCCCTGAGTTGGGGTTGCTGCCTGGGGTCATGGGTCACTGACCTAGCCCTGTGGCATGAGGATGTACTACCGCTAGGCACAGGGCAGCTCCAACTCCGGCATCCACGACGTTGCCTCCAGCAACAAGCAGCTCTTGGCCCATGTGGGTGCATGTGGCTGCAGCAAGGAAGGGACTGTCACGGGCAGGGGCCTGGGACCAGTGACCCATGACCCCTCCCCTCCCCCAAGCTGCCCCAGCACTGACCTGCCGGGCTGATGATTGCGCCATGGTGGTAGACGCCGGGGCGATGGGTGTGTCCCCTGGGTGGAGGGTCCCCAGAGCCCAAGCTTCCTGTGGAGCCACCCCTAGTTTGGAGCTGCCACACAGCCATGGAGCAGCCAACAGCCAGTAGCAGCAGGGCTGCCGCTAGTCGGGCCCAGGCTCCAGGCAGCCCGCCAACCCTGTTCCTGCAGAGAGGGGTGTCCTGAGCCAGGGCCAGAGAAGGGGAACACCCAAGAGCCCCAAGAGAACCCAGGGAATGTTTTCCCAAAGGGCCTGATCTTGCAAGAGGAGTACAAGTTTGCCAAGGCATAAAGGGCTTCCAGGCAGAGGGCACAGCATGTACAAACACATGGAGATGGGAAAGAGTGTGGGGAAACTAAGGATGGCACAGTAGGGAGTCTTTGGAGAGGTCAGAGAGGCAGGGTGGAGCCAGATGGGAGGGAGACCTGAGGGGGGCTGGGTAGGCAGGAGGAAGGGACCAGGGAGTGGGGCACAGCCAGGCCTCGACCTGCCGAGCAGGTGCCTCCTGCACCAGGGGTTGGGGGATGGGAAGCTTTGACAGAGCAGCAGATAGAACAGGGGCTGGCTTGGTACAAATGTCCCTTCAGATGCTGAGACTTTTGATTGACTGGCTCAGGCCAGGACTAGGGCTGCAGCCTAGGTTTCCCACCATTCACCCAGAAAGTTCCTGGAGCTAAGCCAAGCATAGGGTTGCTCAGCCCCCCACTTAGGGACTCTCAAGAGAGGGACTGCCAGCCTCAAGCCTGAGGAACTGGGTGGCCAGACCCCCCTGACTCACCCAGAGGAATCCTGGGGCCTCCAGGGGCTGAGAACCAGTGGCTCTGATGTCTGATCCTCCTCCTTCCCCTCTTCCTCGTCCTCCTCTGACTCCAAGCTCGCCTCCCAGAGTAGCAGCTTCTGGTAGAGCACAGGCTCTGCTGGGGGTTCCATGGCCCCTGGTGCCTGACCCTGCCCTCCTGCCGCCGGCCTGCCCAGCTGAGTCTTGGAGGCCCTGCCCAAGCCCTGCCCAAGCGGGGCGGTGGGAGGTGGTGTGGCCTTGGGGAAGGAAGGGAGGTGGCGGAATCTAGAACAGGTCTGGGCAGGGTGTGGGGCCAGGAAAGCAGCCTGTGAGCCTGTCCCATTAGGACACAGGGCCCAAGGGGCTCTCATGACAGGGTTCCCAGTGTGGCTGCCGGTCAGGGGGCTCAGCTCAGTGAGTTCAGGGAGCCGGAGCCTTGAGAGCCAGGACGCCCGCGGGCCCCTCCCCTTGGGGAATGCAACCTCTGGGTCCCTGGCCTGCCCAGGACTCTAGTCTAGGGACTATGGACTTGAATTAGAGCTACAGTTTCATGGGGACCTGTGTCAGGGCTCAGCACATGACTAGGTTCCGGTGTGGGGGTGTCTAGTCTCCCGCTGGGGTCAAAGCTCAGCCTGAGGCTACTCTGAGTTCTGGGTTTCTGTTCTGGGTAACAACTTCCCTGGTGGTGAAGGCAACTCCCTGGGCATGTCATGTGGATCTCGTCCAGTAGGTGGCGCCACAGACTTCTTTGGGAGTCAGCCTGGAAACTGGGAGTTTCCAAATTCCTTCACCCTGGGTTCACATCAAAGACCTGCGCTATTTGAAACAGGCCCAAATTGGAAACTGCCCAAACACGCATTATCAGTAGAATGAATGGTGTAAGTTGCACAGTGGGATACTCTGCAACAATGAGAGTGAGCGAGCTACCATTGTGAGCGATAATGTATATGGATCTTACAACACAATGGTGAGTGAAAGAAGCCAGACACGAAGGAGCACGTGCTACATGCTTTCATTTATATAAAGTACAGAAACAGGTAAAACTAGTCTCCGCCACTGGAAGTCAAATAGTGATGAGGGCTTCTGAGATGCTGGGGAGATGTTGTTTCTTCATCTGGGTGTTAGTTCCATGCATGGGTGTGCTGGTTGTGAAAAATGCGTCAAGCTGCACACTTATGATATATGCACTTTATGTATATTGTATTTCAATAAAATACAAAAAGAAAAAAGCCCAAGTATTTTCTGCATTAAAACAACAAGCACAGAAATCATCCTTTAATCTCACATGGCTCTCCAGACATGTCCCTTTCTCTTGGCTTCTTCACAAGCGAGGACAGGGGTTCTCTAACTTTGGTGTGTTTCAGAATCACTGAGGGAGCTTCTTAGATCAGACTGCTGGGCTCTGCTGCCAGGGATTCTGTCTCTGTAGGTTGGGGTAGGGGCCAGGAATTTGTTTTCCTAGCTCCAGGTGATGCTGTGGCCACAATCCTGGAACCACACTTTGAGTAGCACCAGCCTACAAAAAGTCATGTACACCTGCTGCCTCTGCTTTCTTGCCTCCCACTTTTTTCCCTTAGCCCACTACAAACTGGTTTCCACCCCTAATTCCCCAAAGAAATCTTTGGTTTCCAGATTTTTGGATTTCTTGGACCAATGAACCAACCAACCAAATGGAGATAGCAGCATAGGGTTGCCAGCTTCTAATTTTGCCAGCGGTGGGGGAGATCACAATTACCATCTGCTCTCATTTCATAAAATAATTTGATTTCACTTCCTTTTCATGCAATGTAGGAAGGTTGAATCTCAGAATGGAGGCTAGTGTTCCCTAAGAATAGGCAGCTGGGAACCTTATCCGTCTGTGCTGCCCCATCTCCTGCCCCACCTTCAGCCTGGCGTCTGGGCTTCTAGCACTGGCTCCCTTTGTGCAGCAGACATGATTCTTGGCTGGGGGTGCAGTGAGGGGTGGTGGTTGGCATTGGCTCCAGAGACCTCTGTTCGGTCCGGTGTCTGCCACTGACTCCCTTTGTGACTGCAGGCAAGTCATTTAACCTCTGGGAGTCTTGACTCTACTTCTGTAAAATGGGGATAATATCTATCCTTACACGGTTGTTAGGATTAAACAAGAAAATACATTTAAAGTATCTAGGCCAGTGCTTGGTACAGAGCAGACCCTCCAAAAACATGAGTTCCTTTCTCTCTGCTCTCTGGGCCTCAGTCTCCCTAGTGCTAAATGATATGGGTAATTCTCTACCCCTGCAACCTCACACACACATATGCACACTTGCATGGTAACTCTCAGTCTGAAGTGTAAGACTGTAGATTCATTCATTCCTTCAGCCCTTTCCTCATTTCCTCATTTATTCATTCTTTTATCCTAATGGTTCTCAGCCTTAGCTGCATATTAGAATCACCTGGCAAGATTTAAAAAAAATCCCAGTACCCAGGCAGACCAGTTAAATAGCTAAGTCAGAATCTCTGGGTTGGCCATTTATTGGGTTTTTTTTTTTAAGCTTCCCAGGTGTTTTCAATGTGCAGGCAAGGCTGAGACCCACTGCATTATCTCATGTCTTCCGCCACTGATTTATGAAACTGGAATCACCTGTATTGATTACAAAACAATATCCTGATTTCTTCCTCCCCTCCAGTCTCACACCAATGGAGTCAGTTTCTCTGGAATTGAGCCCAGTCATGATATTTTTTAAAGCTCCCCTGATGATTATTACGGGTATTCAGGCTTGAGAATTGCTGCTAATAGCAATAACCTCACAGATGCATTTAACAAATGTTCACTGAGTTCCTATTCTGAGACACTCGTGCTGGGGGAGGACAGGGAGGAGCCTGGAAAACAGCCAAAGATTGGTTGTCCCTCAGTCCACAGAGCATGTCCTCCAGCAGCCCTGGCTGTTCTTCCAATCAGAGGGATTCCAGAGACGAGGGAGGATATGCACCCAGCAGTCAGCCTTTCTACCATCCCTTCAGGCTCCAGAAAAGACTCTCCTGTTCATCATTTCTGTGGCTCAGGTCTGCCACATGCATGCATACATGCATGCATGCATGTGTATAAAGCCTTTCCCAGGTGGACTTCATAATTGCCCCCCTGGGGCATGCTGGGATTTGGCTCTAGAGATAGAGACAATAAAGTGTGATGTGGATAGAAGACTTCAATTTTTGCAAGCTGTCTCTCTGTGCAATGTGACCAAAATATTGGAATTAAAAGAACAAATAAAAAAACCCCACAACACTCCAGATGATCCCAATTGCATAAACCACTGGACAAGATTTTTGATCAAGCCAGGAATGCGATAGACAGGGAGGTGGTATTAGAATGAGTATATGCCATTTGCTAGGATAACTGTGCACTCAGGAAAGGGAAATACCCACATCTTTCAGGGATTATTGGGTGCCTGCTCTGAGCTAATCATTTCTGAATGCCCTGGGTCCATTAGTTAGAAAGAGACTTTGAAGGTTACTTGTTAAAGGGGAATTTGACCTACATTACTTTATGGGAGGTCTGTGGAATACTTATCCTGTGGTTATCTACACACTTTCTGAATTTGCAGTTGGAATAAATACACTCAGCAATGATTATACTCTTCACATTGCTTCTTAGACGCACAGAGTAAGAGCCTTTATCATAGTAAAGGCCAAGTGGAAGCCTCTGCAGGGCTCCCTCTATAAGCAGAATAGTAAGCTAAAATCAATACTACATTTTGGGAGGAATTGTAAAGATGAATGGATGCTACCATTAAAGACTTGAAAGATGAAGAGGTATTGATAACTATCACATTTCAACTTAATTTAGTGGTTTGTCTAATGCAGAAGACGGATAGGCCTTGGAAAATGGCAGTAGTACAGTAAAAAGAGGTAACCTAAATTGGAGCTGGTATTCCAGGGGTTTCTTCATTGGAGAAAATCAACACAGCCCCGGCAAATGTTTTGTTCTCTCTCTCAATAAGCAGAGAATCCAGAAGTCATTTGTTTGTACCTAGTAGGGACAGCAGTGCACCTTCACAATCTTGCCTCGGAGTTATATGTATGACAACAGGGCATGTATTGTTCAGTGTCAGGGATACAAGTTGTGGCAGCTGGTGCTTAGGTGTGGTGGAGCCAGTGGTACCTTCACCAGACATTTCTGCAGCATGATTTTGAGCACTGGTCCTGGCCGCATGGCCTCTCAGCCAGTTCCAACAGCATCCTTCCCCCCATCCATTTTCTGTACCCACAGACCTTTCATAAATTTGTTTTTTGTTTAATTCAGGCAGAAGTGTGTCTTTTGCTTACAATTAATAACACTGACTGATGCATATACAGTAGAACCCCTTTATCATGGTTCAGTAACCCAGTCAATCATGGTCTAAAAATCTTAAATGGAAAATTCCAGACATAAGCAGTTCATCATACACAGGCTCTCCAGTTGGCTCAGTTGGTTAGAGTGCAGCCTCATAACACCAAGGTCAAGAGTTCAGATCCCCATTCCCGCCAGCTGCAAAAACACCACCGAAAAACAAATCATAAATTTTAAATTGCGTGCTGTTCTAAGTAGCGTGGTGAAATCTTGCATTGTCCCGCTCCATCCCACCCTGGAAAGGAACCATCTCTTTGTCCAGCATATCCTGGGCTGCGTATGCTACTGCCCGTTAGTCACTTAGTAGCTGGCTGGGTTATCAGATTGACTGTCACGGTATGGCAATAGTTGTGTTCAAGTAAACCTTATTTTACTTTCATTACAGTATATTGTTATAATTGGTCTATTTTATTATCAGTTATTGCCATTAATCTCCCTCTGTGCCTAATTTATAAAACAAACTTTATCATAGGTATGTGCATTTAGGGAAAAAAAACCCAGTATACATACAGTTTGGTATTATCTGCGGTTTCAGGCATCTACTGAGGGTCTTGGAACGTGTCTCCCGTGGTTAAGGGGGCACCACTGTACTCCAAGGGGTCCCTGGAGGGCAGCACACATCATATGCAGATTGGAGTGGGAGCAGGGAGGAAGAAGCGGCACCATTGCCCATTTGACACAGGCTCAAAGTCTCTGAAAACTTGAAGAGGCGAGGAGGATGTTTGTGGCTTCCCCACCTGCTTAGCTCCCAGGGACAGGGCGTCTTTGACTGAGATTTAGAATGGAGGAAGCTCGATTCTTGTAAGA